GGGAGGGCAGGGGAAGGGGGAAAAAATAAGAACCAAGAGAGATTATGTAAAGGTGCAAATTTCCAATGATGAATGTTATTATATTGTATACCTAAAATGTAGCAATAAAATTAATAAAAGCAAAAATCAAATGATACTGATAATTCATCCTTTGCTGGGCTAATAATAGGGCCAAAATTTGTACTCTAATTCAAAATAGTCCCACATTTTAGTGCTTTTTCTTCTTGTTAAATGTTCTACATAATAATTACACTGTACTATACACTGAAAATTTTTTAGCCTCAATCTCTGCAACTTGATTTTTCACAAGGAATTAATTGAGTATTAGGGACATAGCTTTTGATACTAACTCCTACTGACAGAAATCTGGGTCATTCAAAGATAAGTTTCAAACTCTGCTCTGCCAGTGACCAAGTAGCAGAGGGTTATTCACTTATAAGGTGATCACCTCACAAGGAAGTATCTTGCTCTCTAGAGAGCTTTATAGCTCCCTCTGCAACTGGAGTATAGACAACACACAAGTAGTGAGGTAGGCTGAAGTGGGGAAGATGAACCAGAGCTTTCAGGGGCAACACCAGAAGTCACAGTGAGCAGCAACCCAAACATGAACCGTGAGAAACTCAGTACAAGATGGTAAGCAGAGAGCCACACCCGCCTCCTCCTTTGTGTTTGAACATCTACTCCATGCCTGGCACTATTCTCAGCATTGGATTCAGCACCAAACAGGACAAGTCCCTGCCCTTACAGAACCTACAGTGAGGTGCAGAAGACACGTTAACAAGTGAATAAGTTATAACAAACAAAGCAGAGCTAGCAATAATCAGTGTTCTCCCAGCACATTCATGTGGAACATCTTATACTTCTGATCTCTCCTTAGTACAAGTATGTGAAGCATATGATGAGAAAAACAATTTCTCTCCAGACTGGAGTCACTGCAGTGCAATGCACACTTACAGTCAGGGTAAAGTCATAGCAGTCAGGGAGCTCCTGGTGACGAACCGTCTGCAGATTGATGGCCTTCAGTTTAAACTGAAGCTCCACTGTCAGGAGCCTACAAAACAGAGGAGGCTTTAGTGGGTGGAAACACACACACACACACACACACACACATGCACAGACACAAGTTATGCCCCCACTTGTTCCCCTCACCTGTGGAAGTCCAGTGTTAAGTTGAGTTTATTTTCTTCCAGCATTCCAATATGAAAAGATTCATCAGGCTCCACAAAGAAACACTCTGCCATGGAAAGAAACAAAAGCATGATACAGTTCCTCAAATAAAGAAATAAAACTTCATTTTGAAAGGATAATTCATTCAAGATGTTATTCAGACTCCACTCTTTTTCTGAATTAAGATTTTAGAAGCTATTCGCCTATACGACTTTGTTAAAGCACTTTACGTATTTTTAGGACCTACAAGACTACACCATTCCTGGAGTGCTTGGGGACTAGAGAAAGGCCTGAAGTCTGTCTCATTAGGGTCCTATAAAATGCCTCCTTCCTTTCTGTCTCTGTAATCTTTGATCAACTCTGAGTCCCACCTCCTCTTGTCTTTGTATCCTAAGTGGAGGATTTGAAGTACTTACAGTGCCTGATTTTCTAAGTAGGTTAGAGAAGGGGTCACTACTTGCTTCAAGGGGGGGGGGGGGCTGCATAGCTTGGTGGTCTTTTAGAAAAAGGGGTGGGGCCCAGCAGGAGGTAAGTGCCAGGCAGGTGAGCCAGTGAATCTTCATCTGTATCTGCAGCCCTCTATGCACTTGAATCATCTCAAAACCATTCTCTCCCACATCCACCCCAGCCCATCCATGAAAAATTATCTTCCATGAAACCAGTTCCTTGTGCCAAAAATGTGTGGGATTGCTGGTAACTTTAAGAAAAGGAAGCAGCATTTTAGAAAATTTTCTCTATTTGGTATTGTTATCCTTTACTAGTCTTCTCAATATAATAAATTATTCATAAGCATGTTTTGTAAGCATAATACCCATCTATCTGTACAACCAGCCTACCCATAGGCAATTGCCTATGAGAGGCAATAGAGAATATGACTTAGCTTCCGGCTGCCTCTCGATAGTTCATCCTGAGTAGGTCAGTTGGTTCACTGAGCTGTACTTCACTCTTCTAGGAAACAGGGATAATAATAAACCTTGCCTTATCTAGGTTTCTTTGAGGATTCCTGAGATACAGTAAAAGGTTTAGAACAGTAGTTGAGACATAAGAACTTCTACACAGTTTTTACTAAGCCCTAATAGCAAAGATCATACCAATGTTTTCAGAGATGAATTTGCTGATTTTAAGTGTAAATCAAGGAGTTAAAACCCAAAGCTCTACCATATAGAACATTACCTGTTTCGATTTCTGGATCAATGTCAAAGGTGTCATTTCCAGGAAAGATGTTTCCTCGCTTGTAGAAGTGCTGGCAGATTGCCATAGCAGAGTGCTTGGTACCCTTGTTCTTGTAGGCATGATTCCCAACTGAGACATTGCGTAGTTGCAGGTACTTCAACCACAGAGGGAAGCAGAAAGTGAAATGTCAGTCAGGGCAGAGTGAAGCCAGGATGTCTGTCCCTCCCTCCCCACCTCTGAAACTGGCTGGTGGCCACCTCCTGCCCAGGGTGGAGACATCCAGGGTGAGTGGAAAGTGAGTGACTTGCTGCTCAGCACCAGGAAGGGAGGGCAAAGAGTGCTCTTAAATTAGAGTTTCCGGTTCAAGGCTCATTTCAGTCACAAATTTTCTGAGCTATTGGTTCCTTATCTGCAAAACTAAAGTCTAAAGCTGCATAGTCTTTGAAGTTCTTTCCTTCTTTGAAGAACAATGTCCAGGGACTGAGTTTTTACATTCAGAGTGAATATACATTTTTGTCACTGAACTATCTCCTGCAAGGTAAGGTCAGAGTTCTTTACTACTATGATTTAAGAAGTGGGATACATCTGTTCCAAATGGACCATTAAAACCTTTTCTTTAAAAAATGTTGATTTAATCATTATCTTGACAAAAAATACATTTAATCACATTTGCAGAAATGATTCCCTTGTTCTAGTGGGTCTTCTAAACAACATAAAATGTTACTTTTACAAATGAAAACCTTATTGCACCTTGGAATAACTGTCAATGTAAACTCAAGGGATTTCCAGAGATGTTTTCATAGCTTGCAGTGAGCAATGTGGTTGCACAATTGGTCATATGAAAATAAGGAATGGTATCTGTCTCTCTTGAAATTAGCACTTTTGTATGATGGATGCAGAAAAGTAATTCTGCTAAAGATGCATGTGAATAGAAATCATTTATGATCCGGGCCTTGGGGATAGATTCTGAGCCAGGCCTTGCCAAGGTTGCCAATGGGTAACATGCTACTATGTAAAATGCTTAGTTCTGAGCCCTAACCTAACTCCCCCATCATATTTGATGCAGTTTGAGTGTTTCTCCCTGACTTCTTCTTTTTCGGACTTCTGGGCCACAGGCTGCTTCTTCTTCTTGTACTTCCTTGATGAATCCTCCCTGTCATTCTCCCCTTGGAGTCCCCTTGGATTCAGCCCACAACCTCTGCATCCACATTGTCTCCACAAGTGACTTCAACCAGAGTCTTGTTTTAAACACCATCTATACACTGAAGACTTCCAAATTTACATCTCCAGCCTTGATCTCTCCATCAAATACCATCCATGGGTAGCAGTCTGCCTACCTGATGTCTGTGGTGTCTAAAGAGGATTTCAAACCTAAATGTGCAACAGAAAGACCTACTTCTCCACCATAATTCCCTTCTCAATGAATGACTCCAGAAGTCAATCAGTTGATCAGGATCAAACTTAGGAAAGGTCTTTCCGACTCCTTTTCTCATATTTCACTTCCAATCTATCAAAAAGTAATGTGTTGCTTTCAAGTCACTTCCCCATGGGACTCACCCAAAGCTCTGAGCCACCTCAGCACAATCTGACTGCCTCATCACTTTCACTGCTGCTACTGCCCTAGTCCAACCACCATCACTTCTCCCTTGGACTAGTTAAGCCTCCTAACTTCCTGCTTCCAGTCCTGGTTCTCTCGCTAGTCTAGTATCCACTGAGAACTCAGGAATGAATGAATTAACGGATGTGAAACCCTTCGAACACTGATACCCAACACAGTACAGGAGCCTGCTCAACGCTCCTGCTTACTGTTCCTTCTCCTTTGAGATAGCCGCTGGCTCCTGCCCCAATTATTATCTCTTCTCTTCTCCTCTGGCACCTTAACAAAGAAGCCTTCTCTGGCCACCTCCAGTTGTTCATTCTGTCTGCTGTATTTTGTTCCCATAGTACTTATAACTGACAGATGGTGTCCTTACGTGCTTGTTCGTTGCCTGTCTCTTCCTCTTACACTATGACCTCTTTGCCTTTGTCTGTTTGCTTACTGTACAATCCCTGCTCTAAACAAGTACCTGATATATCATAGACACCAAATAATATTTGAACAAATACCTCTTCGCTCTGGTCTATGTATAATAGAGCCTGTGCCCTATCGAAAGCTCCCATGGCTTCCTGGCCCCCTCAGCATAAGCCCCAAAGCTCCTTTCTGGGTCCTGCAAAGCTCGGAGAGGCCTGGCCCTGGCCCCTCTCTATCCGTCCCCGCACTGACTCCCACTTGCACCCTCAACTTCATTTCCTCAAAGGCACCGAATGTTTCTACCCCAGACCTTTGCTGTTAGCAACTCCTTCAGCCTGGAATATTCTTCCCCAGATTCCAAATCCTCAGAAAGGCCTTTTCTAACCATCGTGAGCCTATTGCCATTCCTTATGCTGCTTCATTTTATTTTACAGCACACATCACTACTTTAAATCAAATAATTTCGGTCAAAATTTTTAAAGTCTATCTCTCCCATTAGAAGGCAAGCTCCACAGGAAAGGGAATTTATCCAGTCCACTGCTTTAATGCCAGCACTTTGGGGCCACAGTGAGTGTGTGCGCATTTGTCAAACTGATGGCAAAGTAAAAAATTATCATATAGTGACAGTAGCTCTTTATTATAGCTAATTTATGCACAATGAGTCAGCAAACTTCGAGGATAAGATACATGATTACAGTCACACACTTTCTGTTGGCCCTTGGATTGGGAAAATGATCCAGAAGTCTGCAATAATAGAAACAAGCTGTATATGTTGTTAAACAGTATTATGTTCTACATGTCTCAAGAGATAGGGTAACGCTGAGATATTGAGTTTTTCTGGTTTTGTTTCCCAACATGGACATGGTATACCTGGAATGTGGGGTACACAGTAGGAGGTAACTCTGGAAAGTTGGAGTCAGACCTGTGATGAGTTCTAAGTATGTGTGGGACAATCCCCACAAGGGTCCCCTGAAGCTCTGAACCTCCTGACCACAAAAATCTTATGCAAAAGATCTGAAGCCCAGGGATGCAGGTAGCTGTTAACACTGGAAGTTATGCAACAGTGTGACAGCCAGACTTCCTGGCTTTTTAAGGCTCCCTGTGGAGGTCTGAGTAGCAGGCAAGACCTGGATGGTCCAGAGCAAGTGGCAGGGCTGTGACCAGCTAAAGGACCACACTAGAGACCAAGCCAGAGGATTCTGGGACAGGAATGTGGGGCGGAGACTAATGCTGGGAGTCTGGGAATTGTCAGGGAGGCTGCATGGGGCATGTAAGTGGCTATGGCCTCTGTAGGGCTTAAGTGGGCTGGCACATATCTCTTCTGACCTTGGCAGCTCTGCCTTAAGAAGAGATTTTCACTCAGATCAAGGGTCCTAGGTCAGACTTTGTGTAATAGTATAAAAACAAAATTAAATGTCCTTAGCTGAGTGATTGGCACCAAAATTAAAGCAAATTAAAATTGGTTGCTCCTTGATTATATGTTGCTTATTCATGGCTCCTCTGTGATCACTTGACCCTAACAAATGTCATGAGGGTTTTGAGCTTATTCACTCATTCACAAACATCTGAGTCCTGTTTTATATCCTCACCTTCTGAAATAAACACATCCAATGCTGTGTTGCTCAACTCAGTTTGATGGAGATATAGATGGATGTGTAGATAAAAGTGCACATATATCTATATCATGAGAAATGTTATGCAACGAGATCTGTGATTTTAGGTGAAATCACTGGAAAATAACCAAGAGGTGGTAAGGCAGGTGGATGAGGAATAAAGGAAGCCAACCAGACAGGAAAATTTATGCACAATGTTTGAGCCACAAGAGTAAATGATTCCAAGACCCTGAGGCCTTTAAACCCAAGCAATAGACCAGAAAGAGGAACCAGTCTGGGCAGCAGGCTGGAAGAGACTGAGCTTCTTTGGACAGGGTGATTCTTCCCTGCAGCTGCGCAGCAGTGTGAACAACTGTTTGGGAGTCACCTTGTCCTGGTGATGACCAAGGCTGGGTAATGCAGGAAATTTCTCCAGGAAAAGGACAAATCTCTCAGAATTATCCAAACAAAGAAAAGGAGCCAGCAAAGATGACCCAAAAAGGATGGAGGAAATAAGAGGAAAGCCGAGATACAGTATGAAACACACAAAGTAACTCTTTGACACGCTAATGTAAAAGTGTTAGAATCACAGTATTTGACCAGGATGAGTCTTAGGGATCACTGAGTTAGATGACAACTTACCTCCACTATCTAATCATTGCCTTACATAAAATGAAGTATCCCTATCAGTCCCACTGTCCCCATTCAGTTCTCTCGATGCATGCGAATAACTGACCTCACTAACCACAAAATTCCTACTTGTTCATGAAATATTTGATCAAGACACTTTAGTCTTCAGCTAAAAGTACCTAATGGGGCTGGGAAACTGCAGGGAGTCACTGCCATTAGTATTATTTATTTGCCTACTGGTGCTATAATTTGAACGGATTATGTCTCTTCAGAATCCACATGTTGAACTTAAACAACAATATGGTAATATTAAGAGTGAGATCTTTAGGAGCAAAGGGAGATTAAGTAGCAAAGGTAGAGCCCTCACAAATGGGATTAACAAGACTATGAAAGTACTAGAAGGAAAAGTTAGGTCCCGTCATCCTTCTACAACTCTTCCGCCATGTGAGGACACAGAAAGAAGATGCAAAATACGGAGCCTGTAGCCTGCTTGAGCTTAGACTGTCCAGCCTCCAGTACTGTGAGAAATAAATTTCTGTTATTTACAAATTATCCAGACTCTGGTATTTTATTATAACAGTAGAAAAAAGACAACCAGGACAAGGAATCTATATCTATTGCTACATGGAAAGGTCATGGAGATCTGTTAAGCAGAATGACCCAATACCAAAGAGTATATTTTAAAGACTGAGATTAGGCCTAGTAAGAAAGGTAAAATATTTCATAATGAATATAATGGACTGTTTACCTCTTACCTCTACCCCCCACACTCTCCCCCAAACACCAAACTACCAATTTGGTGCAGAGTCACTTTAGAGAAACTTACTACACTTAATGCAAAAATTTCAAAATTGTCTAGGATTAAGCCATTTTCCCCTATAAACTGCAGGCCATAATTCTGTTTAACAACTTATGCAGCTTATATCTATTACTGATTTTCTCATTACTAATGCTAACTAAAAACTTAGTCCCATATAGGCATATTTTATCTGGGCAATTTACCATGTTACTGCATAGATTGTCTCCGGAAAATGAAGAGTTGTATTGCAATATTACCATGTTTTGAAAAAGAGTTGTAATAATTATGAAATGTGGTCTGTAAACTAAACCCGCACTGGAAATACTGACTTCAAGAGCACTTTCAGTGAAATACACACAATACAAAATTTGGGATTTTGTTAAAGTACTATTTATAAAAATTCAATGATTAGAAACTCAGACTAAAAAATATGACTCATGTATGCAAAATAAGCTTATTTTTGTTGGCAGTTAGTATCACAATAAAATTGTCAAAGCTTTACTTACTTTTAAATGAACTTTCAAGTATTGGTTGCTGTAAAAACTCTGTAAAGTTAATATTCTCATTATTTGCCATAAGCCTCTGAAAATGTAAGATCAGAAGACTACTTATGTCCCAGGTCATGTTCAGTGATTTTAAACCTTTGAGGCTCTTATTCGAACCCCTAACTCTGATTCTTTCAATAAAGTTATCAAAGTTTCTATCTCTCAGTACTAAATAAAACCTTTTCTCAACTTCTAGCTTTGTAAAAGTTTTCTGGCAATATCTTTTTTTTTTTTGCTGGCAGTATCTTTAAGAAAAATTTAAAAACAGTGTTATGCCTAAGTCATTTCCAAGCATTTGTTCACCCTTCTACACTTGAGTGTCAGTTTCTAAAAAATGCATTGCTACTGCTTTTCCAGCCTGTTTTTTATCCCAAGAATAGATATACTTGATTTACCTGGTTCACTGCAAAGATGATCTGATCATAGACTTCGCTTTGCGTGTACACTGCATAGGTGTCATCCATACGGTCCAGGTATCCTTTGAGGAAGAGATGTTTGAATGCTATAGTGTTCTCTTCCTTGAAAGCTACCACCATCTGGTTACTTAGTCCAAAAAGAACCAGCTTAAAAGAAGAGTAGAAATGGTAAGAGAGTGAACAATCTGAACAAAAATGTAGAGGCAGATGGTGCAGGAGCTTGAACCGCAAGATGAATTTCCAGTGAATTCCAGAGGACATCGAGAAGGCTCGTGACTGACTGATAACACTGCATAAAAAAGCCCAAGCCCTGTGGCCAAATTATACTTACTCATAGGCCTCATTACCAAACCTGTGACAATAAGATCAAAACTAGAAAAAAAAAATCTTTTCAATTTATCTCTAACTTAAAGTACATTAACATAATGTGTCCTTAATATTTGGGTAGGATTGACCCCAGAGTTTTACATGAAACTCAATTGTTTGCATGGAAAAAGTTTGTTTTACTGCACCACTGTCATGATGACATAAGCTCTTTTAATCATACCCAAAAGCTTGCTGTTGTGGTTTACACCTAAAATGTCCCCCAAAAGGCTCATGTATTCAGAAGTGGGGCTTTCAGAAGGCGATTGGATCATGAGGGCTCTAATTGCATATTTTGATGGCAATATCACGAGGAATGGAGACTTACAAAGCGCCTAGTGGAAAGGGATAGGTCATGAGACGTGACCCTGACTGTATCTTGCCCCTGGCCCCCTCCTCTCTGGCTTTCTCCCCCACGGCGGTTCCTGGCTGCCATGAGGTTAGCAGTTTTCCTTCAACTCACTCTTCCGCCTCACCACCAGCCTAAAAGCAATGGAGCCAGTTGATCATGGACTGAAACTGCTGAAGGTATGAGACAAAATAAATCTTTTGTATTTAAGTTGTTTTTTCCAGGTATTTTGTACAATAACAAAAAGCTGATTTGATTTACTCCAAGTCTGTTTCATACCCTTCCACTCCCCACCCCCCCACCCAGTAAGCTTAAATCCCGGGGTGAGGAGGCCATATTGTAGAAACCTGTCTTATCACATTTATTGATTCCACAGCATAATTCCAAATGTAATAATTTTGCGAGGAGTACATAAAGGCTTAGAAAAGTTAGATAAATTTTTCAACTCACATCACTAGCAAGTGTACAGTCAAAATTGGAAACTGTATCTGACAGACTAAATCTAAATTCTATCTGTTCTATCAGGCACACAAGTAATCCAGGGTCTGATAAGACAGACCCCTTTCCCTCTCCTTGTGACGTATGACAGATGTCACCATCCTAACTCCACCTAGCTCCACTCCCATTTCTGAAAAGACTTTTAAACCTAAGTATCCTCACTGAAATCACAGTAAGGTGAAAGCTTGATAGTCCAGGGATTTTACATCTAAAGTCAGTGCCAAAAAAATCTTCAAGATGAAGATATTCTTATCAATTTTATGAGTACCTTCCACATGCCAGCATTGCACTAGGTACTGAGATAAAATGAGAAGACAATTGATTCCTATCTTCAAGGGCTGAGGACAGACTGGAGCAAGAGTGGCTGGAAGAACTGCTATAATTCAGAGACTGAGCCAGCCAGTGAAAACAGGGAAGATTTTAGTGGGGTTCCTGTCATTGTGAACACAAAATCTCCAATTTAGCAGAAAGATTCCTTTTTCCTGAAAAGAGGTAATCTGTCTCTAAGTTGCCCACATTTGCTCCATGACAAAACTGTCTTTATGTGATTTGTTGGACTGCTCAGATACAGAATAAAGAAATATCACAATCAGGAAATTCTCCATTACTTTTTAAAACTTACCTATGCAGATTTCCCACGCTTATTACCAACAGGTTTATTTTTTTCATTAACTTTATTGGTACATTTTAGGTATACAGTACAGTTACATTCATCACTGGGATCTTGTACTTTTACATGATGTATCTTGATTCTTATTTTTTCCCCATTCCCCTGCCCTCACTTCACCCCCTCCACCCTTCCCTATTTACAAAGACTTTGTTTCCATTTTTTTCCTTTTCTCATATTTTTTCTTTTCCCTTCTTTTCTTTTCCCTACCCCCCCCACTTCCCCTACTCCTTTAGACCTTTTCTTCCTATTTCACAATATCAATTATACATTTTGATCCTTATTTACACTTTTAGTTTTTCACACCAGAGAAACTATTTGGTATTTACACATGTGTGTCCTATTTATTTCACTTAAGAGTATGGCCTCAATGTGCATCCACTTAGCTATAAATGTATCTAGTTTCTCATTCTTTATGGCTGAATAGGCTTACCAACAGGTTTAAACTACTGGTCCATTTTCCTTTTGACCACCCTAGTAAGTATATGAAGATCAGGGGAACTCCCCAAAAGATTAAAGAGTAACTAACAGCATAAGCCTTAAAGGTTATAAATCTGAGTTTGAATCTCAGTTCTACTCTTCTAGTTTCCTGACTATGACACGTTATTTCACCATACCAAATGTCAGTGTTCTTGTCTGTGAAACAAAGATACCACTACCTACGTCCAATTTGTTTGAAGAATTGAACATAATGATGTCTATAAAATGTTTAATATGACACACAGCAAACACTCAAGTGGTACCAATTGCTACTCTGAGTAAAAAAAATTCCATTTAGCTGATATGGGGTTTCAGAGTCTTGAAAAGCCTTTTAAAAAGTATAAACATCAACTTCTTCATCTATAAAATGAGGGAAGCTAGCATTTACCTGATAAGAGTGTTGTTAGAATTAAATGAAATAATGTATTAGAACAGAACAATCATCCGAATGTTCATTCCCTTAATATAATATCTAGTATCAGAAACTTAAACAAGAATTCTACTAATCTAATATGATTATAGAAATTGCCTTAGCTGCTACCAATCATAACCATTTGTTCTCAATAAGCAATTAAGATTAGTAATGTCAGGATTTAAAAGTTTCTCAGGTGGGGCTTAAGCTCAGCGGTTCAGCCGCCTAACTCACAAGCAGAAGGTCCTGACTTCTATCCCTGGTACCAAAAAAAAAAAAAAAAGTTCCCTTTCAATACTCATTTATTACTTGTGTATTTTTTTTACAAAAAATAATAATAAAAATAAATCTTTCATATCTATTTTCACTATTAGAAACTTTTATTTTTGTTCTGCTTTTAACAAGAGCTACTATTCTTCCCAGTAGGAAAACCCAGGTTCATAAAAATAAATCACAGCCAGTGTATGTAAGAATCACAAAATATGGTTTCCCTATAAAAATTTTTAAAGAAGCCAAGGAAAGTTTCCTTTCACAAAAACTAATTAGACTATGTGACCAAAATTACAATGTAATGAAAGATGAGGAGGAAAAAGGTAAGAACAAAAAAGCCAAATTCTTCCACAAACGTTAAGGAGAGAAAGGTTAAGATTGTGTTTATTTGTTGTTCTCCCCTATGCAAGCAGTTAAAAAGTGGTTTTTAAAAAAATTATCCATTGTTCTCTTTGTTTTTAGAGAGGATTTCACCAAACTCACGATCAGAGTTGCTTACCTGGATGGTCACTGTGGCAATTTTCAGAATTTGTATGGCAAATTTCCATGGTTTTCTGCCTCGGGCCCAGAACTTCTCACAAGGATTCATGAAAAAAAACTTGAGTTTTCTCCTCATCTGGTCTTCTAAAAGAAGCTCCTCAGATAGTGATGCATTCTGGTTCAAAGTGTAGCGATTTTCCTCTTCCTGAGAGCTACAGCTACTTATAACTACCTCAGGAGTTGCCATCCCTAGGGAAGAAAAGAGGCCCATCATTTCCACTCAGTGTCTAACGGCACAAGCCCATATTGTTTGCTCTTGCCAAACTGTGCCGGAAGGAGCCCAAAGGAAACCCCTGGTGTCAAATAAGAGCTGTTGTCCTAAACTGCACTTTAGGTATTCACAGAATGGACTGAAATTTAAGGTATCATGTTTCCTCTTTGTTTTAATTACTAAGTGAATTCTCGCCTATTTGAAGATTACTACATTCTAAGGCTGCTCCTATTAGTAAAAGATAATGTGTAATATGTATAGTATGTGCATGCTTTCTGCTTCATTAAGTAACAAAGTTAGAGCAAAGATTAGACTTGAGAGCCTGGATAAAGACTTCACAGGGTAGGTAAACTCTGAAATTATATGCAAAAACTTGTGTATATGAGGGTATGGCCCCTTCTTCCCTAGGGAGAAATTAAAACTTTCACCAGATTATTTTTTAAAAGAAGTTTAAAATCACTGAGTTGATGGTAATAGTGGATCTTTAAAAAACAAGATCCAATTTGGTTTCTAATTCTGGTTCCCACAGTTTGATATGACCTGATGGAAGTCACTCAGCCACCTCAGGCCTCAGTTTCTTCTCAAAAAAATGGAAATGATATTAACCCTCATATTATTGTAGGGAGCATTAAATAAAAATGCAAGAGCTCTCACGTGGAGTCTAGCACTAAGCAGTTGGCCTCATTCCCCTTCACCCCAAAAGACAGAGCAGCATTCTAAACAGCCAGCAGAGTTTTTTGGGGCAGAGTGAGAATGAGGGAACTGAAAGTTCTATGTACAAAGGGAAAAAGAGGCACTCAGCTGCAGGCCAGTTCCCAACCAGCTGCATCAATTATATGTGCTTTTCATGAAAGTACATTTTTATGTTTATGGACCACATCTTACTTTTCAAAGTACTTGATACCTATTATATCTTTGGTTACTCTGAAAATGATGGGGCAGCTTTCTCAAAGTGACAAAAAGTCACTCCATAGACTGGGACCTATCTTGGATTATCCTCATACTAATATCGACACTATGGAAACCTGTTCAAAATAAAATAACCCAAACTACCAAGAGGATAGAGTCCTTCCATACAGAATAGAAAACCAGGTTTGAGTTCATTATTTTTATGATTACTTTTACTTGGCAATGAAAGAGGAAGTCTTTAACCTACATTCATAGAATACCTGACTAGTCACTGTTCAGGTACCACACTGCTTTCCAAGTCTAGAAGCTCATGTATGATTTGGACTCCAACATTCTTAGCAAATCTAAGGAATGTAGATACTGGTTATAAAAACTAGCCATGGGGAAAATGTTTAAACTCCTAATTAATGAAAAAGACTAATAAAGATATTGCTGAGCAGGTAAGGCGTAAAACATATTTACTCTACATCATACACCGTGTCTTCAAAATGAAGTAATTATGACAGAACTCATTCAAGAGTGACTCATGTTTGTGTGTTAAAATGCCTATACAGTAAGTCTTAGATAAAGACTAAAATGTGAGGGAAAAAAGGCTTTTAATTCCTTAGGATTCTTAAGAACATTTTATTTCCTTCTTCCAAAAGGTAGACTATGTTAACTAGCATTTAAGAAGACTTTCTCTATGGGATTCAAAATGAAGGTGATTTTATATTGATAAAATGTGTATAAGAGTATCAATATAATGATAAAATTGTTAATAAACTATTTGGAGAATTATGGATTTGGAGTCACATTAAGCCCTTTCCATTTTGATAGCGAGAAAAATTAAACTGTAAACAAACTAACCACACACTGTGTAACAGTAGCCCACAAGATCAAAGAGAAAATGAGCCATCATCATTAATTTATTCCGCACATAGCACCAAACTGTTCCGGAAACGGGACATTTCATTCACAAGCCTGACCAATAAACTTGCTGTGAATGCCTGCCTGACCCTATCTCGAAAGCCCTTCTGAGGATGCACTGCTCCAGCTGCAAACTGTTGGGCCCCTAGGAGCTGAACGAGCCCTGGCAGCTACCCTTCCCTTGGATGTAGAGGCGCTGGGAAGGCAGGGTGCCCCAAGGCACCCTCAGCGTCTATCCCAGAGCCTCGCTAGCTCCTGGAAGCCACAGGGAGGTTCCTTATCCCGCGTACTTGGGTCGAGCTGCAGAAAGTTAGACAAGTTACCTGTAAATAGTAAAAGCCTCACGACTGGCGACAAAGTAACTCAATCTCCTTTCTTCGGCAGCGCTTTCCCACTTTATCAGATCAGCAGACACAAAACTTCAGGCTCGCTTCTCTCTCTCCCTCCCTCCCTCCCTCTTTCTCTCATCTTTTTTCCTCTGAGCCTTGCGAACTGATCTGCGCAGCGCTGATCCCTGGGGGAGCCCGCAGCCCCCGGCGCCGCCCCTGAACTCGCTGGCGGGGGACGCTAGATGCGACCCCATTTCCACCCTCTCCCCACAAGCCTCTAAAAAGGGGGACAACCCGAGTTAAGAGTGGCCGGGAGAGCAACTTCCAGATCGTCATCGAGGCCATCGAGCCCTGGGCGGGCATCCAGAGTGACCCTCGCGCCCCAGGCTTCTCCGGGGTGAGGTGGCTTCCTGCTCTCGGGTCCTTGCCCCCGGGTTCCGAATCTCCCCCACCCCCACTCGCCGCCACCCGGCCCGAGTCCACCCGACCGGCACGGCCGCTACTGACCTCTGGCCGGCGGCGGAGCTGAGGCTGTGCCCAGCTCCCGCATCTCGCACCCGGCTCCCACCTGTGCACTCCAGGGCCCCGAAGCCCGGGGGCCCGGCCCTCCCGCCCAGTGTGTGTCCCCCGCGCCTCGGGACATCGCGATCCGTCCTGCGTGTCGCGGGGCGCCGTTCCCAGGACACCTAATGCCTCCGGCGCCGCCCTGCGCCGCTTACCTGCGGCCGGCGGGGACGACCAAGGGACCGCGCCTGGACGCTGCAGGTCTGCGCGCGGCTCCCGCTGCCCGGCTCCGCTCCGCCCAGCGTCCGAGGAGAACCCGGAGCCCTCGCCCTCGTGACCCTCCCGACCGCCGCTCCGATTCCTACCACGCCCTTCCTGGGGCCGCCTCGTCCCGGCTGTCCCGGGGCTCTGGCGACCCCCAGCCCCAGCCTCAGCTCCAGCCCAAGCCCTCGGGTCGCAGTAAACAACCTGCACGGGTTTCTGTGTCTGCTGCGCAGCTGCTGTCGGACGAGCGGCCAGCGAGTGGCCTCCGACTTCAAAGGAGCCTCAGCACCCGCCGGGCGCGTCCTCCCGGTGACCGCGCGGCTGAAACGCGGTGTCGATGCGCAGCGCTTCGCACGCGCGGGAGCTCAGCCCTCGCCTGGGCCTGCCATTCTGATGTTTGCACACAGGGTGAAATCAGGGCTCCTACCCTCCCCGGTCCTCGTTCCAGGCAAGTTCTATGAAATGACCGGGTTGTCCATTAGATTGCTCCATCCTGGGCGCAGGGACCAAAAAAAGCCCTGGAAGGCTCTTCGAAGTAATGTGAACAGAATAAAACGCCTACGGTGGACCTTGAGCCGTAACCTTTTTTTTTTTTCATGAATTCTTTTTAAAAATTAAACCTTAGCCTATGCCTTAACAGGAATGGATCAGGAACTTTGGTTAATTTTAATTACACTCATTTTGATTTGTTTTAATTTATTCTTTTTTATTATGTTTGGCCCAGAGTAAGTTTATAAAAGTCAGTGAATGTCCCTAACAGAGTATTCCAGAAATTGTATCAAGAGCTATCAGACCCTTTACAAAACCTTTTATTTTTCAAATACTGGATCGGTTTGCACGGACAATTTATAAATGAAATTATCTTTTGTTGCAGTGGGGTACAAGAATTTTATGCTGTTCATTAATTTGAATCTCATGTGTTATAAACAAGATAAATACCCGAAGGATATAACTGGTGCACTCAATTCTCAAATGCAATTTGGAAAATATAATTTAACCTCAGAAATAGGAGCATTGCCTTTTCCCCCTAAGATTAAATAATACTTTAGGTTGTTTTGTTTTGTTTTTTTGGTCCTGGGGATTGAACTCAGGACCTTGCACTTGCGAGGCAGGCAACGGAACCACTGAGCTAAATCCCCAGCCCAAGATAAATAATACTTAAATGAAAATATTTTTTTTTTTTTTTTTTTTTTTTTTTTTTTTTTGGTACCAGGGATTGAACTCCGGACCTTGTGCTTGCGAGGCAGGCACCAGAACCACTGAGCTAAATCTCCGGCCCCTAATGTACACATTTTTAAACCAAAATTCCATGAGAAACAAGATGTCAATTTTTTTTTTTAAAAGGAGGGGGGAGAAAATTTCAGAGCCCTGCAGAGCTGTGCAGAGCAAGGCAAAAGGAGCAATCAGTAATTCTGCCTCTCAGCTGGAGCACTGAAATCTTCCCCCTAAGATAAATAATACTTTAGGTTTTTTGGTTTTGTTGTTTTGTGTTTTTGGTACCAGGGATGGAACTCAGGACCTTGCACTTGCAAGGCAGGCGCGGTGCCACTGAGCTAAATCGCAGGCCCCAACATCATGTTTTGACACATATACACTGTAAAATGATTACTTCAGTCAAGCTAACCAACGTATCCATCAGCTCACATACTTACCACAATTCTTAATTCATCCACTTAGAAACATTTTATAATAACACCAGTCAAAAATACTCTCAGGTGGGGCCAGGGATTTAGGTCAGTGGTGCCAGCGCCTGTCACGCAAGCGCAAGGTCCTGAGTTCGATTCCTGATAATGAAAAAAAAATACTCTCATGTGAAAAGGTAAATGTACTCAGCATCTCATATCCAGAGGCAGATTAAAGCAGTTAAGTCAACACCATTCTGGACAACTTCTTGACATCTTTATTTGTACATTTTTGAAATTTTAAAAATTGGCAATACCATATATACTATTTTGTAACCTGCTGTTTCACTTAACAGTGTGTAGTGGACACCTCTTCACTTCAATAAATTCTTGTCAGCCTCATGGTCTCTTGATGATCTCATTGACATCTCCTTTTTCTATCCCCCCACGACTCTCCATCACAGCCTCCTCTGCCTCCTGAGTACAGTACTGCCTTTTGCTTGAACCTGAAGACTTGTACCCTCAAATACAAAAATATCCCAAATGGATTTTATTTCAAATCTGAGGCTGCTGACTTGGCTGAGAGAAGAATCAATTCTTCTGTTTCCTGGTAGGTGAAAAAGCTCTCTGTGGGAACTGAAGCCATGTGCAGTCCACTGCCGTGGGCTCTGTGCCTCTGGAAGTTTGTTCCCGTGGCGGCCATGTGCTGGTTCCCACCCTTGTCTGGCCTGCTCTAAGGAAAGTACCTTTATCCCAAACTTTGCAGATATAAAACTGAAATATGGACAGATTAATACTTTGTCTGATCCCACTTATCCAGAAAGTGACAAGTTTAGGCTTCAATACAATTTTCTTACTTTGAATACAGTTTTTGTTACTTTGCCACTGGTAAAAACCACTAGGTCTGTGGGACTGGTATTCCCTGACTCTGGAAGTGGCTGCTTTATTGGACCATCACTCCCATATCACGGCTCTCCCACCACCTACTCTTCTTGGGAGGGGGCAGCAGAGACGCACCTGTACTCACAGAAGTCCAATCTGCTACCACATGGCCACAATTATTTCCTCCTCTGCTCCCGCATTGTTCCCTCTGGAGACTTCTCCTGCTATAGCCTGTAGCTCAGTTGTAGGGCCGTCTTCCCTTGTAGGAAAGGCCAGCAATTCTAGAGCCAAGTAGAACCTGTATCCTCCTTAGTCCTTAGTAGACTCAAGCTATTCTCTACAGAAGTAGAAAGAATGTTTTTTCTCATTTCTGAAGCTGAATACTGTATTTATATGGGATCCTCCTCAGTTCCTCATGTAGTAGGTGGTGATAATTTCCTCAAGAATTTTGGAAAATAGTAATTCCAACAGTTTAGGTATCAAACAAGGATACTTCCTTCCTTTCATCTCTCCTAATCATACTGATGAAGTCAAAGAAGGAATAAAGGCTCCTATTCAAGGTCTTCTATCCCTAAGTTCTGAGCTATACATATATATATATATATATATGTATATATATATATGCAATCCAATTTGTACCTAACTTATCAGATTATCTTCTCTAAACCTAATCAGAAGTTTATCAAAATGACCTTAAATAATCAGAGAAGTATTTTTAGTTGTGACTTCTTGACTCATGACATCTTCACTCAACTAATAAAACTAAAACAGCTTTTTAAACATGTTCAGTTTCAGGCAAAATTAAGTCAGCATTCCCTATGACCACATGGTGATGTTTCATTTCTAATGACTCCCACAAAAGAACAAATAACTAGTCAATTATGAATTTGTATCATGAAGAAATGACTAAACACCACTTAATTTCTAACTCTTTTGGTGTTGTGACTTATTTCTCTGAAATTACATCCCCTTGGGGTATCTCTTAAAGAAAAGATGACAGAAAGGCTGTGTGTCTCATTCAAATCACAGGGTTCTAATCCTTACTTCCTTAAATCTGACTGCAAAGGATTATGAATTTTTTTTAGGAAAAATAAATTCTTTGGAAAATTACAGAGAAGCTTTAGTTATCTCTTTTTAGGTTTGATTTCAATAATAGTCAACCAAATATTTAAACATACATTTTGTTAAGTGTATCAGATGTCATTATTGGAGATGTAAAAGAGTAAGAATCTATTCTAGCCCTAAAATTTAGAAGGGGAGACACCCATGTAAACAAGCTGTTGCCACACAATATAATACTTACTCTGATGGAAAAACAGAAGAAAGAGTGACTAATTCTACTGTGTCCTTCTCTGGCTTTCCAGAGATGATGACATTTGAGTCTTGACAATAAAGAGTAGTTTATTAAATAACAAAGATGAAGAAAGGCATCACAGGGTAAGGTGGAGGTAGAGGCAGCAGGCTGAGCACATGTACAGGTGTCAATAAGGATGGCATTTTGGGAGCTATCAGGAGCCCAGTGTAACCAGAGCTTTGGTCTCAACCTGGGACCCACAAACTTCTGGACTTGAACAGCAGTATGTTAGGGGTAATGGAAAACTGAGGGATGAGCAGGTCACAGTCACCTGAGGTTTCTTTGTGTTCATTTACTTTTATGTCAGTTTTAGTAGTGATTTTATGCATTTTAAAAATTATAATAAACATGAAAAGATTGAAGATTGTGCAACATAGTTCAAAAACCTCATAATCTTTTTTTTTTTTGGTACTGGGGATCTAACTCTAGTCCTTGTGCTTACGCAGCAGGCAGCGAATCCACTGAGCTAAATCCCCAGCCCACTTCATAATTTTTCCCCCCCATTAAGTTTATTGGTACATTTTAGGTATAAAATACATTTACATACATCATTGGGATCTTGTACCTGTACATGAGTATCTTTGTTCTTTCCCCCCCCTTCCCCTGCCCTCCCTTCACCCTCTCCACCCTTCACTATTTGCAAAGATTTTGTTTCCATCCACTTCATAAATTCTTATATAAAACAAAGTAGACTTTAGTTGCAAAAATCTGTTTCATACTGTAACTCCTCTTACCATCTGCTACCAATCCATGCCCCTGAAGTTTCAGGCCCTTCAGCTGCCCCAGGCCTTCAGTTAAGAAGCACTGAACTAAACAGGGGTTACCCTAGGAAGAGAGACCAGAAATGAGGTCACAAAAATAACTCATCATCTTCTAGATATATCTCAGGTATCGTTCATAACTGTTTGTACAGGGTTTCATATGCTAGATTGAGGACATTTAAGCAGGGAAATGCCTTGGTTGAATCCCTGATTTAGTATACTCCATTGCAATTTAGCAAATAAATTAAAGGGGAGAAAATAAAACAAAGGACTGTTGCTACTATCTAGGTGAGAGATGAAACATATCTGATATGAGGGAGAGATAGAGGATGGCTAAGAGGAGATGTATTATTAAATACTTAGCAAAGACAAATGATAAGATTTAGTAATATGTTAACTGTGAGTATTAAAAGAGGAGTCAGGGATGACTCAGATTTCTAGTTTTTCTAGCTGACAGTAATGCTGAGATAGGAAATAAAGTACAAAATCTTGTTGAAAAATATCTGAAACATAATGATTTGATTTTGCTTCTGCTAAGCTGTGGTACTCATGGCATGGTAATTCCTCCATTCACTCATTCATTCAGTATTTTTATGTAGTAACTAGTAAGCACCAGGATCTGAACTGGACCAGTAGTAAGAAATAACCAACAACTTGTGGAAATTCAGGTCTGCAGCTTAAGAGATGCATTAGGGCTGAGACTCTGAACATGAAAGTCCCAATGTCTTTAGAGGTGATGCTTGAAGCTAAGGGGAATAAATAGGGTACCACAGGAGAGTGCAAAGAATAAGACGCTCGGTCTGAGATTAGGGGAAAACTAATCTCTCAGTGCCAGAGAGAGCCCAGGAATAGAGTGTTATAACATTTAGATAAGACTTCTTCCTAGGTAGTCTTTCTTTTTCATGATTTCTATGGTAAAATATATTTTGGTTTTGCAAACAAACTCATCAGAAATTTGAAAGAATCAACGTAATCTACATAAAAGTTTAATCTTCATTTAGGATTAAGTCTGATATATGCTATAAATTTATCTTTTAAATTTAAATATTTATTTAAATTGATACAAAGAATTAACTTAAACCAATTACGCCAGTCAATTGCACTACTTTATTAAATTCTCCACGGTTACAAACTAGGCAGTTATAATTATTTTTATGAAAGAAAGGAGGGCAACTATTCAGAGATTAGTTTCTCACTGTGAGTCCCCTGGGATCCATAATCATAGACAAAATGATCCTTAGAGTTACTCGGGGATTCAGACTTTTCCCCCAGAGATGCACACTTGCAGCTTGAGTCGAGCTCTCTACACAAGTTATTTTGGCAAGAGGAAAATATAACATATTAGCAGTTCTGGGACGCCCACCGCACAGTGGGACCCAATTTCCTCTCCACCCCCGAATTTAAGAGGGGATTCCTAGAAGGCTCCAGCTTGCCGCCGCGAGTTGGGAGGGGCAACTACCCTTAGAGGTTTCACTCGCTGCTTCTAGAGTCCACAACACAGGATTCTCCTTCGGATAAGATTGTGGTGGGTGCAGATTATGGACCAAAACGGTCAGGCTTGAAAATCGGCTGGATCACTACCTTTGCACACATAATTTGCTAAACTCTTTCCTGCCAAAAGGACAATGCAGACTTCGGCTGGTTCCTGTTGCGTGATGTCACATCACAGTAACCAATCACAGCCATTGTAAAATAGACTATTCGGAAGTGAACACTGCATTGGTGGAGGTGCTTTGTCAATCTCAGCAGAGGCCCTGCCTCTTTTCTCTTAGCAACTAATGCGTCTTAGCAACGCCTTGCCCAGGAGTTTGTGCTATTGGGATTTGTTTTTCTGAGAGTCTATCACCAGCTCTCAAAGGCGCTTTTCTCCAGTTTACTGCCGAGGCTTCTTTCTCTTCACTTTAGTAATACTGTATCAGGTAAGGCCAGCTCTGAAAGAGAAAGGAGGAGTGGGAAAAAGTGTTTTATTCACTCTTTCAAGAGTGTTTGGAAACTTTCTAGAATGGGCTAGTTGCTGAAAAGACTGAAAAAATAAATAAGACTTCCACGGCTTTGAAAGCTCTTCTAGACTGGCTAGGGAAAGCAGATAACGGCAATCTAAGAACTTTGAGGGCGGTATTACCTTGTTTACGGGTTGTACATCTTCAGTGACTCTCACATTACCTGGCACATAGTGGGAGCTCAAAAAAATCATGAAAGAATGAATATAAAAATGACAAGATCCTGGTTATTAGTGTGCGGGAATCAAAAAAGATTAATGCGGGATCAAGTAGAGAGACCACTTCAGAACTGTTGAGAAAGGGGTGGAAGACAAACAGGAAGATAGATAAGGAACACGAACGCTTTGAAAGTAAAGATCTTGTCTGATTTTTCTAATGATTAGTTCTACCTCGTACCTAATTGCTGATCGGTCCATTCTATCTCTTACTTCGAGTGTGCTGAACGCTGAATGAATTCACAGCAATCTTCCGGGCAGTTTACACTTGAGGAACTCTGCCTTGACAAAGACCTGGCATAATTAACTACACACAGCGTGATTAGAATATGTTGAGGAGAACAACATTGTTGCAGCCTGAGACAGACAGGGAGTCTTCTAGGAGGTCATGTTGGAGTTGAGCCTCGAAGGTTGAGTAAAATTTAAGCAGAGAAATTCATGTAGGTTAAGGAGGGAAGGGTGTTCTCTGGAGGGAGGTGGCAAATACTGGAACCATCTGAGGATGAATGGTAATGGGATGAGGCTGGAGCAGAACGGGAAAGGCGGGTGGGATGAGGCTGACTGGGGAGGGAGTTGAAGGCTGTGCTTACAAGTGGGACTCTACCCTCTTCTCCAAGTCTGTTTGGCAGAACACCAGTCCAAGACTACCTTGTAATGCTTTGTAAAATGCAAGGTTCCAAGCTCAGGTAGATCTGCAGAATCAGAAGAGGGTTCAGGATATTTACATTTTAAAGGAGCTCCATTTTTATAATATGGAAGAGCACACTGCTACGGACAATAAGGACTCACAAAAGTCCTTATAAAGACCCGGGCTTGGCGGCACACACCTGTAATCCCAGCACTCTGGGAGGCCGTTGCAGGACGATTGCAAGTTTGAGCAGCTTGGGCAACTTAGCAGTGTATAGAGACATTATCAAAATAAAAAATTTTAAAAGGACTGTCAGTGTAGCTCAGTATGGAGAACCTGGGTTTAATTCCTAGTATTGACCCCCCCAAAAGTCATTACACAAGTAAGTGACCAAATAAGATTTGCATTTGCAGGCAGACTGTGTGATTGTTTCAGTAAGCACACAGACAAGGAGGCCAGTTAAGAGTTATGATTTAGGTTAGAGTGTGGAGGAGTGGAATCGGTGAATTTAAAAAATATATATATATATACATACATTTTTATTTTCACTAACTGCTAAGTGAAATATATGCATTGGGTAACAAACCACAGAAGCATTAGCAGGATCTATGTCCTGGTTACCAAGAAAAATTCCAGCTCTTTTCAAATTAAGTTACAAATGTTGCAGATATATTATTTAGGCTCATCAATACCTTTAAATTAGGGTAGTCTTTAGAATTACTGTTAGATCTTATTATTCAATGTGTTGATAATAAAGAAGCACATAAATTAATACATTATAGATTTAAAATATTTTAACACCTGTATTTCAATATACTTTGTTGTAATCTTGTATTTTTATTTAGTGCATGGGCATTACCAGTCTATCATAGGGATTTACACCACCAAATGGATTAGGAGCTCTGGTCTAGAATGATGTGTTGAGGCCTGAACTAAAGGAAGATATGGGAGAGGAAGACAGAAAGGAGACATTTTAAGGGGAAGAGTAATAGGATAGTATCTGCATAAATGAGTAATATCCAACCTTGGAAAGAAGTGGAGTAGATATGGAGCGGGAGAAACACGAGCAGTAGACTCATAGAAAGCATTGTAGGAATGGTTATCTCTGAAGAGTGGATGTTTCATACTTCTTAGGAAACAGCCGAAGGGCCCAGGAGAACCCTGAAGACTAATCAGGGTCTTAGTGAAGATTTACTAAGAAGTACAAGTTCTTGAAGACCATTTACTAGATGCCCAAGATGTTAGCTTTGCCTTTTATTCTAATTATTGGTTTTCTTAAAGAAAAGAAAGAAAGAAAGAAGGAAAGAAAGAAAGAAAGAAAGAAAGAAAGAAAGAAAGAAAGAAAGAAAGAAAGAAAGAAAAGAAAGACAGACAGGAGGCAAGTATGGTGAGTTTATCAGTACTTTAGAATAAGAAAAGAATGATAACCACTTTGACAAAGCTAATTGAGGGAGACTTGGGAGTAAATGCTTCCTAAAGAAGATCCTTGGTGAAGAAAAGGTGCCATTGCTACAGATCTTTTCAGAATCGGGATCTCAAGGCCGGGAGCAAGCCACACATACAAGTTACAACAACTGGGAGCAAGCCAAAGGATGAGTGCATCTCACGAGCAAGGTGAAAAGAGGAGATTAATAGCTGTTCAAATGACTGTGGATGTCAGTTGCAATTTGCATCACTTATTGCTTCAGGGGCAGTAGCTGTTCTCCTAAATATCAGAAGCATCATAAGGTTAGTCACAGTCAAGTCTGGAGAGGTAACTGGGAACCAGGTCGTGGACTGCTCTGAACAGTGTTCTGCAGAGTCAGTAGAGGACCTCACAGATTTTGAAATTCTGTTTGGAGGACTAAACAATACCCACAATTTGTCAGCCTCTAAAGTGTGATTGTTGATTAATTGTGTCAATAGGAGTAAGAGAAGCTCAACTAAATTGACTCAGTAATTCCACACCATACAGATGGTATAAGGGGGAAATGAAGGAGGACAGATCTGCTTCTGTTTCTTCAGAGGACCTCCAGTCTTTGCCTTCACCTTGAATGTCATCTGGTTTCCAACACACACTCTTCAGCTTCTGGTGCAGATCCTTTGGCCTTCCGGGGTAGACTCTTCAGCCTTCCATCACAAACTCATCCACCTCCTGATACAAACTCTCACGGGATACTGCAGTGAGCTCCAGACAGTTGACTGAAACCTTCAGTCTCCAGGGTGCAGACAGACCCTCTGCACTCTTCCTCATCCGACCGTGTGGGTGGCCGTTGGGAGCCAATCTTGTAAATCAAGATATATTTGTTTATCTTGTGTTATATCCATTTCTCTAGTAAACACTGATACATAAAGACATTTTTTGTTAACATAGATGGCAGAAAATATGACCTTTGTACATTGATAGAAAAAATATACTCTGGAATGGGTCAATTTGTAAAGATATGTGATTTTTCATGTCAAAAATATTTTAATGAAATGTTCACACATTTCTAAGTGTTGTCTTCAACAATTTGTTTAGAAATCTGATCAGCTCTGTTGCTTTGAAAAACAATCACAACACAAAGCCACTGAACATAACTATTTAGAAGTAGATGAAATATCTGTTCTATTACTCTTTTTTTTGTTGCTTAAATTCATTTATTGGTACATTTTAGGTATACAATACATTTACATTTATCATTGGGTGCTTGTACCTGTACATGATGTATCTTGGTTC